CTAAATGGCCTTATTAAATAAAAAACACGGAGCCAAATATAGGGGTGAAAGCCTTAGATCAGGGAAATAGGGAAAGCCACCAGCCAGCCTCACCTCACCAGCTCTGCAGCTAATTCGTAACCCGACAAGTTGGGCGCCAGATGTAGCATGAATCTTAAAAGGTCTTATTAATAAAAACAAACCTGGAGCCAGGTATTGGGGTGAATGCTGGAAGATCAGAGAGACAGAACAGGCCACAACTAACTTCACCTTGCCAACTTCTCAGCTGATCTTGTTTCCTCAGACTGGAGGCCTCTGAGTCCTTATCTGAATGGATCTCAGCTGAACTGTTGCTAAAAGCCTAAAAGCTTAAAAGCTTCCTGGTCCTCACGCCTTATATACTTTTCTACTTCCTGCCATCACTTCCTGGGATTAAAGGTGTGAGTCACCATGCCTGGCTGTTTCCAGTGTGGCTTTGAACTCACAGAGATCTGAATGGATCTCTGTCTTTAAGTGATAGGATTAAAGGTGTGTGTGCCACCATTTTCTGGCCTCTATGTCTGTCTAGTGGCTGTTCTGTTCTCTGACCCCAGATAAGTTTATTGGGGTGCATAATATATCAACTACACTAAGGAATAAAATCTCCTGTGGTAAGTTGAGTCCTGGAGGGCCAGGAACTATTGTAATATCTGACTCTCACTTTCTCCGCCTCCATGTTTGGTTTCCTGAGAAACCGCTCTGAGAACTTCACATTTTGGGATAATCAGAGCACCCATGTGCACCTGGCTCTTAGAGTCCCATCTAAGTCTCTCTGGTAGCTATCAAGTAGGCAGTCTTATCCCATCCATCGTATAGACAGGAAATCAGTTCAGAGACCAGAGATGCTCAGCTCAGTGAGCTGGAGACTACAGGGTTCAAGTCTAGCCTGTCACTCTTGAGTCTCTTCCTGACTGGGCTGTCCTGAAGAGTTCGGAACCAGCCAACTGCTTTACCATTTTCCTGAAAAGATTCGTGTGTGGGACTGGAGAGAAGGCTCTGTGTTGAACTCTTGATCTCTTTGGCATAGTACTGAAGTTGGGTTCCCAGCACCTACACAGGGCAGCTCTCAGTCATCTTGAAATGCAGCTCCACGGATATCTGACGCCCTCTTCTGGTGTCTGAAGGCAGCAGCGTGCATGTGTGCATGTACACACAGACACATATATAAAAATAAAATAAAGCCGGGCGGTGGTGGCACACACCTTTAATCCCAGCACTTGGGGGGCAGAGACAGGTGGATCTTTGCGAGTTTGAAGCCAGCCTGGGCTACAGAGTGAGTTCCAGGAAAGGCGCAAAGCTACATAGAGAGATCCTGTCTTGAAAAAACAAACAAAAAATAATAATAATAAAAAAATGAAAAAATAAATGTTTTAGAAAAGTTGCTGTGTACTTTACATGTCATAAGACTTCTCTTCTAATGTATACAGTTCAGTTAAGGAGTTCCTGATGTCGTCCCAGCACATTCTACAGTTCTCACCCTTCCCACCTCAGAAAGCAACTGTCCCTGCCAGCAGTCACCGTCCACTCATCCACTGCCATCACTAATCGACGTTCTCACTATGGAGAGTTCGCCTATTTTGCTACATTAGTAGGATCATTTATGACCTTGAGTTATTGGCATCTGTGCTGGCTAGTTTTTATGGAGTCATCTGAGAGGAGGGACCCTCAACTGAGGACATTTCTCCATAAGATCAGGCTGCAGGCAAGTCTGTCGGGCATTTTCTTAGTGATTGGTGGGGGAGGGCTAAGCCCATTGTGGGTGGTGCCATCCCTGGGCTGGTGGTCCTGGGTTTTATAAAAAGAAGGCTGAGCAAGCCATGGGGAGCAAGCTAGTAAGCAGCACCCCTCCATGGCCTCTGCATCAGCTCCTGCCTCCAGGGTCCTGCTCTGTTTGAGTTCCTGCCCTGACTGCCTTCCATGATGAGCAGTGATATGGAAGGGTCAGCCAAGTAAAGCCTCTCGTCCTCAGCTTGGTTTTGGTCGTGGTGTTTGGTCGCAGCAATGGAAATCCCGACGGAGACAATCATCTTTTAAGATATTCATGATTCACCCAATGTTGTAATGTATTAGTACTCAACTCTTTTTTTTTTTTTTTTTTTTTTGGTTTTTCGAGACAGGGTTTCTCTGTGTAGCTTTGCGCCTTTCCTGGAGCTCACTTGGTAGTCCAGGCTGGCCTGGAACTCACAGAGATCCGCCTGGCTCTGCCTCCCAAGTGCTGGGATTAAAGGCGTGCGCCACCACCACCCGGCCTCAACTCTTTTTTTAACGAGTGCTTCCCAGTCCATTTATGGATGTACGTTTTATTCAGTCATCTATTACAGGATATTTGGGTTATTTTTGGTTTAGGGGATTAGGTATAGTACTGTGAGCATTTATGCACAGGGTGAATGTGTACATGGCATTTATTCTTAATTCTCTTTGGTACATACTCAATTGGAATTGTTTGGTCATGTGATAACTCAATATTTAGCTTTTGAAGAACCCTCAGATTCTCTCCTGAAGATGAAGATGCTGAACCATTTTGTATCTCTGTCAGCAATTTGTTTCTGTCTCTCTCTCTCTCTCTGGAGCTGAGGACTGAACCCAAGACCTTGCTAGGCAAGTGCTCTACCACTGAGCTAAATCCCCAACCCCAGCAATCTGTTCTCATTCCAATTTCTTTTTTAAATTTTTACTTTATTACATTTATTCTCTGTGTGTGTGTACCTGTGTGTGAGTGTGTGTGAGTGTACAAATGTGCTGTGGAGCACACACAGGTGGGGGTCAGAGGTCATTGGTTCTCTCTGTCCACATGTTAGTCCTGGGGATTGAACTCAAATCATCAGGGTTGGTGGCAAGTGCCTTAACTGCTAAGCCCTCCTGCTGGCTCTGGATTTACAGTTCCCTCTTCCACCGCATTCTTGCCTGTATTCTGATGCTAGCCAGCTCTGGGGGTACAGAGGTGATCTTCCTTGTGGTTTGGTTTGCATTTACTTTGTTCCTTAGCCATTTGCATATTGTATTTTTTGAGAAAAAATGTATTCAAATTCCACTTTGTTCACTTTGAAAGTACATTGTTGACTTTCTCACCGTGGGTTGTAGGAGTTGGGTGTGTGATTTGCAAATATCCCCCGTCTCTGTGTGTTTCCTTTTCACTCTCTTGATAGTGTCCTTTGATGTGCAAAAAGCATTGGTAACTTCCCATTTATCTTTTTAAAAAATAATTTATTTTAACTTTATTTTATGTGCATTGATGTGAAGGTCCCCAGGAACTGGAGTTACAGACATTTGTGAGCGGCCATGTGGGTGTTGGGAATTGAACTCAGGACCTCTGGAAGAACAGCCAGTGCTCTTAACCACTGAGCCATCTCTCCAGCCTCTTTATTTTTTTTTTCTTAAGTTGCCTAGACTTCTAATGTCATATCTGAGAAACTGTCATTTGATCCTGGGTTCTGACAGTTTGCACTGATTTCTTCTTTCACGTTGAGGTCTTTGCCCAGTTTGGGTAATGGTCTGAGACAGGGGTCCATGTCAGTCTTCTGTGTTTGAATTCCTGGTTATTTTAGCAGTGTATTCTTTTTGTGATTTTCCAGTAGGAAATTTATTCTAAAATCTTATCCCTTCAACGTAGAAATTGGAATTCAGAATTCTGTACCTCTGACTTTACTCTGGACTTTAGCCTAAGCTTTACTCCTTTTATAAATTATTATTATTATCATTAAATATTGGCTTTATTACTTTTTTATGTGTGTGTGATTCAGACCAGAAGAGGGGTTGTACCCGCGGGTGCTGGGAACTGAACTCAGGTCCTTAGAAACAGGGGGCAGTGCCCCTGGGGTGACTCTCCAGCCCTCTGCAGCATTACACTCTAATCTCATTGCCACACAGACCTGAGGTGATGCCATCGTTTTCCTACTTTACAAAGAGGGCTTGAGAGGGACAGACTCTTGCACAGGGCCAGGGAGGCGTGAGTGGAGCTGGAGACTTCCGGAGTCCCTCCGGCTGAACTGGGCATCCTCAGAGACTGTGTGGGCTCCTTTGTGAAACTCTTTGGTAAAGAAGCCGGAGGGCGGTTTCCTCGCCTCACGTGTCTCGCGCCCTCTAGTGGTGGGATCGGGAACTGTCGGTGCTGACTCCGGTCACTGTGTTGGACAGTTTGCATTCCTGGAATGCAGCAGGAGGGCGCTGCCCTCTGGGAGTGGGGGGACTGATGTGCTCTCAGGGGGATCTTTGCAGCTGGCCCCTGGCTGGACTTGAACATGGCTGGTGGGCAGGTTTCCTTCTTACATTGCAGGGTGTTCAGGAGACCTGTCCTGTGCCCGTCACAAAAGGGCAGTTAGGTTTCATGTCCGCAGAATGTCCCTTTCTCCCCCAGTGCCCTAAAGCAGCTGAGACTTGGGTCACCTTCGTTTACTCCCAAGTCACACTTGTTTTTATTTTACTTTTTACATTTAATCTTACGTGTGTGGGTGTTTTACTCTCCTGTGTCTGTGCCCACGTGGTACTCATGGAGGCCACACGAAGGCAGTAGATTCCCTGGAATTGGAGTTACAGAGAGCTGTGCCACCACGTGAGTGCGGGGAACCGAACCCAGGCCCTCTGGAAAAGCAGCCAGTGCTCTTAACCATGGAACCACCTCCCAGTTCTCTTCTTTGATTTTTGAGGAAGTGGCTTATGTTGTCTTTGAACTTGAGACCCTCAGCCTCCTAGGTGCCCATTGTGTGAGAGGCCTGCATCACCACATCTGGCACCACATCTGGCACAAGTCCAGTTACATTAAATGACAGCTGTGGTTAGTGCTTTGTAATCGATCACATCGGGATGAGGATGCCTGAGCCCAGGCCTCTGCTCTTGATCAAAGGTGCTATCTGGTAACTTGCTGGATGCGGTCTGTCTGCCTGTAACATGGTGCCCAGGAGCCTGAGGGTAAAGTATTGTGTCTGGTCACTGTAGATGTGAAAAGTTCCAGCTTCTCTTTTCTCCCTCACCTGCTCTGTCCTCAGGTTGTAAAATGGTCGGACTGCTGTTTGCCGTTAGCATGCCGACCCGGGGATCCCTACCAATTAATTGCTAAAGCAAGCGTGGACGACTTCAGCAAGCTCGGGGTTGCGTTTATGGAGGAGAGGCTGCAGATGGACAATGGACTCATAGCCCAGAAGATTGTCTGTAAGTGACTTTAGGACGTGTTTGCATGGGGTGTCCCCGTGGTTCCTCCGAGGGCTGTCGTGACTTCCCAGCGCCGTGACTTAGTTTACTTTCCGTTTCAGCCGACAGGTTTGATCTCACCGTCACGCACGTGGGGTTGGGGCGGACAGGAGGCACGCTGTCGTCTGTGGGGTCTCTGGTCAGTAGAGTTGACTAATGATCTCTCCCACCCCTGCTCTAGCAGTTCACTTAAAGGACTCCGCGCTGAAGGACGTCAACGAGGCCTCCACCAAGCAAGTCCAAGCCCTGCCGCTGAACCCAGAACCTTCCCTCGAGGCCGAGCCTGTGCAGGGCGTCATGGAGCATGCTGGCCAAGGTGACGCGAGGGCTGGTGAAGGCCCTTCCCTTCGGAGGAGGGGCTGTGCCTCTGGGGGTGAGCCTGCCGCGGATGGCGACCCGGGGCAGAGCTCCGCTGAGCACCATCAGCTCCACCTGTCCAGCTGCCACGAGTGCTTGGAACTTGAGAACAGTACCATCGAGTCAGTGAGGTTTGCATCTGCAGAGGACATTCCAGAACTTCCCTATGATCACAGCAGCGGTGTGGAGGGTGCTGCCGACGAACTCTGCCCTGAAAGGGGAGGGAGGAGAGTCAACGTTTCGGGAAAGGCACCCAATATCTTGCTGTATGTGGGCCCCAGTTCCGAGGAAGCCCTAGGCCGGCTCCAGCAGGTGCGGTCTGTCCTGAGCGACTGTGTGGACACGGACAGCTATACTCTCTACCATCTGCTGGAAGACAGTGCCCTCAGGGACCCATGGCCAGACAACTGTCTGCTCTTGGTTATTGCCACCAGGGAACCCATCCCCGAAGACATACACCAGAAGTTCATGGCCTATCTCTCTCAGGGGGGGAAGGTGCTGGGCCTGTCTTCCTCTTTCACGTTTGGTGGATTTCAGGTGACAAGCAGGGACATGCTCCGGAACACAGCCCAGAACTTGGTTTTCTCAAAGGCTGATGGGAGTGAGGTACGGCTCAGTGTCCTGAGCAGCGGCTGTGTTTATGAGGAAGGCCTCACCCCAGGCAGACTCCAGGGCCACCTCGAGAATCCGGACAAGGACAGGATGATTGTGCACGTGCCTTTTGGAAGCCGAGGAGGGGAGGCCGTTCTCTGCCAGGTATGGGGGTGCTGTTGATGTGATGCTTTAGGGTGTTTGGTACAGAGTGTGCTCTTTAAGGCTTGACGCCGACAAGTCCAGCTGGACAGCAGCTCAGCAGTGAAGTGTGCGCCTTAAAATTGTGCATGAGGACCCGAGTCTGATTCCCCGGAACCCACAGGAAAGAGCCAGGCATGGTGGTGTGTGTCTGTAATCCACGTGCTGGGGAGGTGGAGGGAGGTGGATCCTGGGGCTTGGGGACATCCTATTCCTTCTGTGGTCGGTGGGTGGGCAGCACTGAGGGAAAGCAGCTGAGATCATCCTGAGACCTCCACCCTTAACCTTATGTGTTCTTGTGTACGTGCACAGACCCAGACACCACACACACAGACCCACACACACACACACACACACCACATACACACTACACACA